CCCCAAAACCCCAAAACCCCAAAACCCCATTAAGTATTTTGTCAAGATTATATGTGATTGCAGAATAAAATCATGCCTGAAATCTCTTTTAATTTTTATAATATTAGATTAAATGGAATAAAAGTAAGTATCTTATAGAAAATAAGCTAATTTTTGTATTTAGACAAGTGGAAGTCCAAGAGATTCTTGAAAAACTCGTCACCTTCCTGTTAACTAAAAAACCTGAAGATCCAGTAATTCTAATAATATCCCATGGGACAATGTTTAACACAACTTTAGATTCCTTATATGATTTAGTTCTTAGAGGATTTACAGGGTAAGGGGACTGCTCCAATATCTGCTGAGGAAAGAGAAGAACTAGAGAGACTCAGAAGAGAGCATAGCAAACTTAAGCAAAAAGCTCAACATAAAGTCAAAGAAGATCACGACCACTCTGATGATTCAGATGACTCTAGTGAGGTAAGCAGACTAATTAATGAAATATGAATTAGGGCGAAGATGCTGTGTAAGAATTAGTAATAAACCCTCAAAAAGCAAAGCATCTCTCTTAAAACGCAAGAGTTTCAGTCAGTGCTGAGGTATTCGGAAAATACAACCAAAAGCAGTCCTTCTAACCTATTGTTATTCCTAAATCAGATGGAATTAAGGACAAGTAACATTCTCAAGTTTAAACATATTTTTTTCATATAGAATCAGAAACAGACTCAAGTAATCATTTATGTTTTCAGCATTAGATGAAACTGAGCTTGAAGTTGTTATTGATGCTATGGATGAGAGAAAACCAGCAGCAGGAGTCAATGTTATTAATGAGGGAGAGAAAGGAGATGAGTTATTCGTCGTAGAAGAAGGTGTCTTAGACTGCTTCAAATAATTCGTAAAATTCAACCAATCAATTATTTCAACAATTTATAGCCTGGAGAGCCTGCTCCTAAACATCTTAAATCGTATGAGCCAGGAGATGCATTCGGAGAGCTGGCCTTGTTGTACAACGCTCCCAGAGCAGCAACAATCAAGACAAAGACTGACTCATTTTTGTGGGTTCTCGATAGAAATACTTTTAACTATATAGTTAAAGATGCTGCTCAGTAAAAATCTTAACTTTAATATATGTAAATTAGACGCAAGAGAGATAAATATGAGGATTTCCTAAAAAGTGTAAAAGTGCTGTAAAATATGGATCACTATGAGAGATCCAAACTTGCTGATGCCATCAAGGAGGAAAGATACGCCAAGGATGACTTTATAATTAAAGAAGTAAGTTATTGTATTTTAGCTCTTACCATAAATGAAAATTAGGGTGAAGGTGGCAATATATTCTATATAATCATTGAGGGAGAAGCGATTGCAACAAAGACATTAGAGCCAGGTCAATCTCCTAAGTAGGTGATGAAGTATCAACCAGGAGATTACTTTGGAGAGCTTGCACTTTTAAAGAACGAGCCTAGAGCTGCTAACGTTATAGCAACAACTAAACTCAAGGTCGTATGTTTAGATAGAAACAGCTTCAAAAGACTCCTCGGACCATTGGACGACATTCTCAAGAGAAACATGGATGCTTATCAGAACTACGTCTGATTCATTCACTGCTATAAAATTTATTAATTACCATCACTACTACATTAACCAACTTGCAATTATTTTCACTAACGGGGTTTTGGGGTTTTGGGGTTTTGGGG